CTACCGAGTACTTCATGCTGGCACACTCTGTCCATCTGTCTTTGCCGGGGTCAAACTGAAGCACACGATTGCTGAGCTTGTCAGGCTCGTCGTCAGGGTGATCCTGAATGGCAGGAAGAGAGATTTAGGCAGAGAGATGAAGAAAAAGATGAGGACATGGGGACATATTGGACAAATGAGAAGCAGAAATATTTCAGTAACTATTTCACGATCTCTATCGTGTGGAATTGTTTTTAAAAAACGAAAATGATTTTAAATAAAAGTACAATACTGATGTTAATGTTCAGGGGAAAAACAACCAGTTTGTGGATTTTATATGGCAAGTTTTTGTAAATTTTTGAGACTTCCACAACTTCAGTATGATTTTTTTTCCCCGTGAAAAACCTAAATAAATTTTACATTACATTTTAAACTAATACCATGTAAAAAAAAAAAAAAAGGCCAGACACAACAAGTATGATAAAAATTCAAACTCACATATACAAATACATTTTTTCTTTTATTTTGTAAGAAGGTTCCATAAATACTCAGTTTAAAAAGATGAATTTTTGGGGCAATTATTTCATGGCTCAGGCTTTAAACGGTTAAGATGGTGAGTCTGGGTACCTGTGGTGTCCACCCCCCCAGCACATAAAGATGCTCCTTCAATGTCACAACAAAGTGACTGGCTAATGGAAGAGGCAGAGGAGCAAAGCTGAGCCAGCTGCCTCCTCTCTTCAGTGACCATCTCTCCATGCTGTCTGTGATGACGTAGTGATTACGCACTTTCATCTGACCACCGATTAAATAGAGGGCATCTCCTATGAGCCCTAAAGCATACATGTCCCTGTAAGCTGCTGAACACAACTTCAGCCAGCTGTTCTCCTCTGAACTGTCATACCTGGAAGATAAACAAGTAGTTCATTTGTTAATTCAGTGTGGTGCCTATTGATAAAAAGATTTCTGATATGCAAAGGGATTAAAACCTGTAGATATCAACCCCCTTCGTTCGATGTTGGTCTTCTGCTTCTACGGTCACCACTATGATGTTTTCTCGGCTCACTGCGCCTGCTGTGATCTGTCCCACTATGCTGCAGCCCCTCAGGGGAGAGGGGATGTAGTAAGTCTTCCTAACATGGGGGTCAAAGCAAAAACTGAGGTCAGCAAGTCCTCCACGCCGCGCAGGGACGCCCTCCTTATTCACACCACCCAAACAGAGGAGCAAATCTGTTGTCTCCATGCCATAGCGAAGAGCTCGGCGAGGAGGAGCTGCGGCCTCGCAGAGACCTGACGTCTGGAGAACAGCATCAATCATCCCAAAGCACTCAGTATCCCGCAGAAGCACCTGAGAGAATCATAAGTATAAGAATGATATATCTATATACTTATCTCAGGACAAATATAAATAGGGAGTCTTGCTCCTTATTATATTTGGACCTCATTCCAATCTCTTCATACCGGGTTTCTCCTCCTTGCTTTACGGAGAAATCCAGGATCCACAAGCTCCAGTCGGACATGCCTGAGCAACTCCACAGCCTGGGCTTCCCTTTCTGAGTCACCCCTGTACTTTTCCACCCAGCGCAGCACCAGCTCCAAAACAACCTCCTCCTGTGATACGTTAAGGTCATCTAAGCCAAGCAGTTCCCCAAGACTTTGAGCATTCAGCTCTAGCACTTCTTCTTCTTCACAAACCTAGTTAAACAAAGATAAAGAAAGACAGTATACTGTAAGTAATGAAGATAAAATAAGAACAACATCGCAAAATGAACAAAAGATATTCAGAGATTTCCTCAGTGTTCAAAAGCTTCACTGAACTTTGATTCTTCTGATAATTTAGGGCAGGCCTAACTTCATTAATCGTAGGTTCGTGAACAATTTTTAAAGACTATGACTGAGGGATTATTTCACATTGGTAATACTTAAACCCTACCTGTGAAAAGTGTTGACAAAGATATCGCAAGGCACAGTCAGCGAGGCTAGTTGCTCCCAAGTTCCTGGCCCAGTGGTACAGACCAACACAGTTTGACGGGTCCATACAGGCCTCCATGTGACTCTGGCACAACCTTACCTCAGTAAAAACAAGGAGAGTACTTCTTAAGCATAAAACTTGCACTTTAACAGGTGACACCTTTACCAATTACCCCTCTGTCAGTTTCACCCCACCTGAAGGCTCCGTCTACATGTAGCAGAAAGGCAGCAACGGCCACTCCCTGGATGTTGTTGTTTGTTAGTGGGAGCTCGCCACAGTATATGTAGTCCAGCAGCAGCCTTAAGCTTTGTGCAGAAGTGTCTCTGAGTGGTATTTCTCCTCCGTGCGTCTCCTTCAGACCACATGTAAACATGGCCTGGACACAATGATTCACCAGAACAGTAAGAAATGATACAACTACAGCCTTGCATCTCATTAATGCATTTGCTTGGAGTAGTTCAGAAAAAAATAATAAAAAATATGGTAACACTTTATAATATGGCCTGCAACGAACGGCTTAATTCCCCTGCAATACAACATGATTTCCAATGTATTTTATTTGAAATTACCGGAAACAAAGAAATAATTATACTGTAAGTAATTTTAGTATTATGTTTATATATTATTTATAATAATAAGTAATATGGAAGTAATTTTATGTAGTGCATAAGTGCTTTTGAGTATTGCATATCTTCAGGTATTTTACAGGAAAATAAAAAGGAAAATAAAAATAATTGCATTGCAAATAATTTAAATAGTGTTCTTCATTTTCCTTCAAGCATACGGTTTATTGTTCCTGACTATTTTACCTGGAAGTAAGGACTGAATGCAGACAGCACCACCTTGTGGCAATGGAAGGGGATCCCTTCAGCTAGCAGCACCACGTCAGTGAGCTCCTTAGTTGTTCTCATCCTCTCTAGCTGCCTTAGCAAAAGTGAGCCATGCTCTGCTTGAGCAGAGTGCAGCACCTCAGCATCCATGGACTCTTGTTTTGAAGAGAGGGGAGTTGTGGAAAATGCATCAGTAATTACAATTAAATAAATCAATAAACAAAATGAGTGAACATCTGTGAAAGTTTGGTCTATGCACACTTGTATGCAGTTTCAACTGCATCTACCTGCTCTTCACTATCGCAGCTTCACTGTTGTCAGTAGGTACTGCATGGAAAGTTTTCTCCCACGTGAGACTGAATGACTATGCACTTTTCCTCCGTGGGTCTGATCCATGCACGGAGCATATTTAGTTCCACTTTTTGTTTATTCACGTTGAGCTAATGAGTACCAAGTGTATTCATTAGCTCAGCCGGGAGTGCTTCGCATGAGTGAGCTAACTCATGCCAGTCACAATGGCCATTATATTATGAACACATGAGCAGTGTGAACTCTGATCATGCTTTTAAGTGTGAACAGCGGTTCAAATGAGCACATCTTTCTTTTGTTTTTATAAATTACGTTGACATGTACACCAATCATGTTAAAGAGTCTGCCTTAACTAATGCGACATTTAATATACTTCATAAAGCTAAATACCATTGACCTGTTTGTAGATTACGTTCTACTACATGTTGACCTGTGGTTCCACCCCTGCAGCTGATAACCACACTCTGTGTGCGTGAGCTACACATAAACAGCCCACAGACACGCACACACGGTTCAGAGAAGCAGAAATAGCATGCATTATATTTGCTAAGCACATGCAGAAAAACAGTTACCATACCAGTGTTGTCCAAAGAACCAAGATTAGAAGTATTAAAATGAGATTACGTCAGTTTTCCTTGCCAAAACTACAACACAGGCTGGGCTGTTTGTGTCAAGTTTTTGTTTGCTGCCAGTTCTCTCGTGTTCTGTGCCATTTTGTTTTGGTGAGTGGGGGTCAACAGCATGTTCACTGTCAAAAACGAGTTTAAAATAGACCAGCAAGTGCTGGTGGGGCTGCAGGCCTGTTCAGGTTTCTATACATGACTGAGCAGTCTGTCCTTAAACTCATTCATGCAGCGTTTCACTCTAATTACTTTAATGAAATTGCACATTTTTCCTTAAAATAATTCTAAAGAGAAATCTGCACATTTTAAGAGACCACATGAATAATTAACATGACGTGAACAGGTATGTTTGAAGATAGTTAACTAAAATTAAATTAAAATCTAAAGTTATGTGATTTTTTTTTATAAAATAAAAATAAAAACTAGACTTTGAAAGAAATTAAAACAAATAAATTAAAACTAAGGAGAATATAAAACTAACTATTTGTTAGTTTGGGAAACTCACTGATGAGGCTTTAATGCAGGTGATTGTTGAGGCTTTGGATGTCCACAAGACTGTGAGTCAACTGTTTTCAAAAAGTTCTATTGATTTTTCTGCCACTGCAAAAAAATGATTTGTTAAAATTATGAAATAAGCGATTTTTTTTTTTTTAAAGTGAAATGGTAAGTTATTTTCTCCATTTCCAACAATATCCCCAGAAGTTTCAGTTGGGAAGTCTATAATTTGACGTTTCTGTCACTTAAAGGAGGACTTTTAAAAAATTTTTAAAAAAAGCTGGAGCAGCTTCTCTGGTTACAGATGGTACCTACACCATTTTGGTGCTTTAAATGTTGTTGGGCTCTAAGTTCATAGTAGTGACAGATACTAGAAAAATAAAAAAAAATGGGGAAAAAGGTCTGAGCACATTTGGCTCTCTAGTAAAAACAAAACAAAAACAAAAAACACAGAAAAAAAAACTATATTAAACATTTATACAAAGGCAACATTTCAATCCACAGCTTCTGTTTTTCCTGAAAGTTGTCAAAAAAAAAGAAAGAGTGGACATTTTCTAGAAGGTATAATCAAATCACTGTTGAAAAACATCACAATAACATATCAACAACAAGTCCAGATAAGAAACAGAAACTGGTTTTCAAGGGTGCTTTCCAAAATAATTTAAATGATAACCTTTTCTTGAACTAAAAGAAAATCTGTATCATCCATGTAAGTCTTTATTATCAAAGCATTTTTATTACAAAAATCAAAAATCTATAAAGCAAACAAACAAGCAAACAAAAACATATTCGAAATCTGCTGTTATAAATTATAATGTGAGTGAAGTTGGCCCCCCCACCTTCTTCAAATCCAACAAAAGTGGTATCAAACGTTTGTGCTACGTTTTGCTGGTTTGTGCTGCAAAAATTTTGTTTGTGCTGCTATCATTTTAAAGATATTAATAAAAATTTCTAGAGGTCATCAGAGGTCAACCAGCCCCCCCACATTAATTAAATCAAACAAAATGGGTGTCAATCAACTGTGCTACGTTTGTGCTGGTTTGTGCTGCTAAAATTTTGTTTGCTGCTCTGTTTTAAAGATATTAATGAAAATGTAAAGGTCAAAAGGTCAACCAGCCCCCCCACATTACCCAAATCAAACAAAATTGATGTCAAACGTTTGTGCTACGTTTGTGCTGAAATTTTTGTGCTGCTATCATTTTAAAGATATTAATAAAATTTCTAGAGGTCATCAAAGGTCAACCAGCCCCCCCTATTAATGAAATCAAACAAAATGGTGTCAATCAACTGTGCTACTTTGTGCTGGTTTGTGCTGCTAAAATTTTCGTTTGTGCTGCTTCTGTTTTAAAGATATTAATGAAAATGAAAGGTCAAAAGGTCAACCAGCCCCCCCACATTACCCAAATCAAACAAAATTGATGTCAAACGTTTGTGCTACGTTTGTGCTGTAAAATATTTTGTTTGTGCTACTATCATTTTAAAGATATTAACAAAAATTTCTAGAGGTCATCAGAGGTCAACCAGCCCCCCCATATTAATGGAATCAAACAAAATTGATGTCAAACGTTTGTGCTGGTTTGTGCTGCAAAAATGTTTGTTTGTGCTGCTAACATTTTAAAATTTTAATAAAATAACGTCTTGATGCGTGCTTAATCATCCAGGTAAGTAAATCCCAAAAGGTTGATTCTGTTCATCTGGACATTTTCAGTTGGAGAAACGTTTCGTCACTCATCCAAGTGACTTCTTCAGTCTCAGCTGACTGCAGGTTTCCCCAACCTTATAAACAGTACATTTGCATAGTGAAGGAAACTAGCGCCACTGAATGAACAATGTGCTGGGGGGTTAGTTCCATGATTGTTAGTATGCAAATTCTTATGACCATTGATCAATGACAACTAATCAAAGCCTACTGATCAATGGCCATGAGTACCATTCACAGAAAGTGGGGAATGGCTACAATCACAGCATTGTAGGATGGCAAAAGATGTACCCTTGGGCCCCCCTTCTCGATTCAGAGATGGTCAGCATCCTGACAGCCCAATGGACGAAGCTGTCTCTCAGTCTGCTGGTTCTGGCCCGGAGGCTCTTCAGTATCCTTCCTGATGGCAGCAAACTGAAGACGCTGTTGAAGGGATGAGTGGAGTCACCTGTAATGGAGAGGACCTTCCAGATGAGGCAGGTGCAGTAGATCTCCTGGGGAGGGAGGCAAGAGAGGTCCCCACAATGCTCTCGGCTGCTCTCACTACCCGTTGTCATTTTTTCCTGCAGAACCCAATGCAGGAGTCATACCACACAGTGATGCAGCTGGTGAGGATACTCTCAACTGTGCCTCTGTAAAAGGTGCTCATAATGGGGGTTGAATCTCTTGTGCTTCTCAGTTTGCAGAGGAAGTAGAGTCGCTGTTGGTCTTCTCCACATTCAGGGACAGGTTGTTGTTGCTGTACCACTCTGCCAGATGGTTAACTTCACCCCTGTAGTAGATCTCGTCGTGGGTCAGCAGAGTGAAGAGAAGGGGGCTCAACACACATCCTTGGGGAGCCCCCGTATTCAGTGTTCTTGGGCTGGAGGTGTTGCTGTCGACCCGTACTGTCTGCTGTCTTCCTGTCAAGAAATCTAGCAGCCCGTTATACAGCAAGGTGCTGATCCCCAGCAGATCCAGTTTGTGAATGAGTTGCTGGGGAATGATGGTGTTGAATGCTGAACTGAAGTCTATGAACAGCACTCTGACATATGAGTCTCTAGTGTTCAGATGTGTGAGGGCTGAGTGAGGGGCAGTTGAAATTCCATCATCGGTTGAGCGTTTTGACCGGTATGCGAACTGAAATGGATCCAGGTTGGGGGAAAGCGATAATTTGATTTGATGCATGATGTGAGAGTGAATAATATGTGAGGTGAGTTGACAAGCGCTTTGGGTGCCTAGAAAAGCGTATATAAATCAATCATTATTGATGATTACTAACCGTTCTAAAGCACTTAACTTAATAATGATGGAGGTGAGTTTGACAGGACGGTAGTCCTTAAAGCAGGAGATAGATGACTTCTTGGGTACAGTAATGATGGTGGAGGCTTTGAGGCATGTGGGAACGACGGCCTGACCCTAGTGATGTGTTAAAGATGTCTGTGAAGACATTTGTGAGTTCCACAGCATAGTCCGTCAGTGCTTGTCCAAGGATGTTATCAGGACCTGGAGCTTTGCGTGTACTGATTTTGGCAAGGGATCTCCACACACTGTCTGGGGATTGTGTCACCACGGTCTGTAGAGTGGGCTTGTAGTCTGTGATGGTTTGTATTCCTTGCCACTGCCTCCAAGTATTTCTGCTGTCGCTGAAGCTTTGCTGTAGCTGATGCCACGTGACAGGTTTGCCCTTGCTGTTCTTAGACTCACCTAATTCCCGGCTCTGAAGGCTTGCATTTTTCAACCTTAGGAGCATTTAAACCTGACCTGTGAGCCATGGTTTCTGATTGGCCCGGACAGTGATAGTCCTGGTCTCTGTGACATCATCGATGCATTTTGGGATGTAGGCAGTGACAGGTGTCCCTATCGGCTCTCACGGATGTGAAACCGCATAGGTCTACGTTAGCCTGCGGCGTTAGCTTGGTTAGCCACGTCTCCGTGAAGATAAACAAGCTGCACTCACGGTATAGTCTGTGGTTGTTCAGAGCGCACAGTTCATCAATCTTATTCTGTAACGAGTTCACGTTGCCCATGATCACTGTCGGGATTGATGGTTTGAATCGCCTCCAGTGATCCGCTCTCCTCGCTCCAGCTTTGCAGCCTCTGTAGCTCCTCTTTATCTCAGCCGGGATGTTGTGTCGCATGCTGGTCTGTCCCTTCGTTCTTAGTGCCAGCAGCTCCGCTCTCGAATAGATGAAGGAGCTGGTTTCAGAAGTTTTAAAAAGTGCATTATCCATCTTGTATCGCTATATCTAAGAGGTATAAGTAGAGGAAGGTGAAATAAAGTTTGAAAAGCCTAGTCTAAAAAAGTTAAAGTTAAGAAAAAGGTGCGGTGTTGCAGAGCTACTTGGAAAGGCTGCCATCACTCCAGCGCCATCTTGGACCTTAATACATAATTCATAGTTTCCCATTATCATCTGATCCATGCTACGTGGATTGTTTTGCCGCCTCCAACATAAAATGCAAACACAGTGTACTTTCAGGATATATGTTGGAGCATTTTCTACCCAGAGGAATTTCAATGTGTTGTTGAGCAATGCACAGTGAATGTGAAAAAACACAATGTAAGGCCTTACAAAAGAACCCAGGGAATATTTCTTGCCTTATTTGGGCATTGTTCTCCCTATATCAGAGCTGTGCATGGTCAGCAGGGAATGCCGGGAATTTAGCAACAATCTTGAGGATTCATGCCAGTCAGGGGGTTTACGTATGTGTGCTCTGTCTGTCAAAAGAAAACGCTATGTGCAGACTTCTCTGCGGGTCTTCATTCGCTGCCAACCACATCACCGGAGGTTCACCGCACCGGCCTTTCTCGGCATCTGCTGCAGGAAATGACCGAGGCTCTGTGCAATGCGTTGTTATGTCTGCACAATAGCTGCTTAATGGCATCTGTATGGGGCAGAGAGAGGTGGATATGTGAAATGTTAGGTCATGTCAGGTTTAAAGTAGAATATTAGTCTGTAGAGTGTAACTTTGTGTTTGACTTTGTTTTCGTAAGCATTTGGTAGTCATTCATTCACTCTTCCAGCTTCATGAAGAACTGTCTCACTATAGGCTGAATGCATGCAAACATATGGGAGTCCAAAGAAATGTGCTAATTGCCACTGGATATATATGAACAGTGAGCTGGCTTGCATTTACAGTGTTGTCTTCTTCAATGAGGTCTTTGTTTCCCCGTATCTCTCTACCATGGAAGTGAAGCTGTCATTGTGAATATTTTTAACACCACGAGGCCTGATAGTGAGCCAGCATGCATGTTTATAATCTTCGCAGATAGAGGAGAGACACAGTATGTCTGCGTATGGCTTTCGGAGCCTCGAGTGAGTGATTGTTCCGTTACGTGGGCGTAAGCAGCCTGATGCTTTTGGCCCGCTCCCCTTTTCTTCGCTCACACTTACTCTGGCAAAAGCTCAGCATACCTGCAGTATTTTTGGCTCCTTTAAAAGGAATTGCTTTTGAGTTATTGTGTATTTTCTTTCCCACATGACTAAAAGCTTTCCGTACATAGTCACTGAAAAGGAATTTAGATTGCGTGAGGCCGAGTGCTAAAGTGAATGAAACTCAGTGCAGGATTCAGTGTGAACTGATTAGTTCACTGTGACATAAAGTTTGAGATATCAGTGTTTTGAGTTTGTGGAGAGACATCTGGACTGAGATCTGTTGTCTTGTAATGTGACAGCTGTTAGTTTGTTACGCCATCTATGATTCACAGTGTCACATGAACCTCTTGTGTTTACTTGACACAGAAAATGAGCGCAGACACATCCAGCAGCTGTGAAAGCTTTGAATAGTGTCAGCAGTAGGAAGAAATAAAAATAATTATTAACAAAATATGTTAATTTGCATTCTTTCTTTTTTGCAGCTGGCTGATTTTGGCCTCTCAAATAATTTCCACAAGGACACGCTGCTGCAAACCTACTGTGGAAGTCCGCTCTACGCTGCCCCAGAGATTGTGAAAGGGCTGCCATACCAGGGACCGGAGGTTGGTCAACATGCTGTTAATTCCCAGCATTATGGATGTTAGGTTGTTTTAAAATGTTCACAGAATAATCAGTTTTGTTTACTGCAAGACTGGAGGGCTGCTTTTGGTGAGATTACATCATCATTTAATGTCACCACATGTGGCTGGTTTTCTTTTAAAACAACAGGTTTCTAGTACATTAGCTAATTCTAACAACTTGCATTGTGGGTATTGTAGGCACCAGATGCTGGCATGAAAAAAAGCTCTTTAAAATGTAAAAAAATTATGATGTCGCTGGTTCTGCTGCATTTTGTGTCTTTCATGAATCCAACATTGTTATTTATATTAGTGCAATGCTAAATTACACTAATTTAGCAGTGTAAAATTCATATCTTCTGGATTAGTGTAGCTTTAAACCACAGTACATCTTATTTTGTTCATGAATATGCTTTAAAATAATATAATATTTCATTCTGTATGTGTTTGTGTCTTAGGTGGACTGCTGGGCACTGGGGGTGTTGCTGTATGCCCTTGTTTACAGCAGCATGCCATTCGATGGGGCCAGTCACACAAAACTCACAGAGCAGATCAGCCAAGGTCGCTATCGCAGACCCAACCCCCCCTCTGGTAAAGCTTCATAACTTTATTTTTTATATATATTTTTAAAGCTGTCAAATGGGATCTGGTTTGTCAGCGTAGTGGCCATAAATAACTGTTGACTCTGTCCCCTCCAGATGCCTGTGCTCTCATCGGCTGGTTGCTGACAGTGCGTGTGGATGAGAGAGCCACGATAGAGGACGTGGCTAACCACTGGTGGGTGAACTGGGGATATGAAGAGAGTGTGTGTAACTGCCCTTCATTTCCACACCAAGAGTGCCCCTCCCCGCTGCTGGCTCGCTACATCGACTGGCAGAATCAGGTTGCTGCTGCTAGCAGTTTGACGGTGGATGCAGACTGCCTGTCCTCAGACTCTTCCGGTCTTCCTCAACACACTTCCAACCCCTTTTACTTCAGCTTACCTCTAAAGCACGAATGTGGGGGAGGTGCAAGGGTGCGCGGTGGAATATCGAGTCTTAGGAAGTCTCGCAAGGAGAATGCGATTCCCCAGACTGCACAGGGAGCTTGCAGTGACGTTTGTTTAGCAACTGCTTCTTCCGTGGTGATTTCCTCCACTTCCACTTTTGAAAGAAAAAAGCCCAAAGGTATTCTGAAACACCAGAGAAGTTTAGATTCAGTCTTTCACACCCCTCCCAGGGATAACTCCCCCTCTCAGCTCTGTAACACTGCACCGCAGCCCTGTCGAACACACGGTCTTACTCATGCGTATGTTGACGTCCTATCAACCAGCCTTCTGTCTCCAACTACATTCAGTCAGCCGTCGTCCAAAATGCCCAAGAAAGGGATACTAAAGAACTTGTATGGTGGGGAGTCAGGTTATGGTTCCTCATCAGACAGAAGGGGCTCAGGTGTAGGAAGTACAGACAGTAATGCAGGTCAGTCCTGTTCCCACAAACAACAAACATGTCTCCCAGGAGTTGAAGACAGTCCCACAATGCGCACAGAAGCAGTAAGAAGACGTAAGGGTATTTTGAAACGTAATGGAAAGTTTTCTCGCAGCCTGGATCTTCCTGACAACCACCAGTCTTCTCCCTCTCCAACTCCTGCGATATTCCCAGAGGCTCTGCAGCATCTCCTCCAGACTGCAGGGGATGCTGAGGGCCGTCATAGCCGCCCCTCTAGTGTTGTGAGCGAGGATAGCCTCTTCTCCTCCGATTCCTTTGATCTGCTGGACCTTAGCTCCCAGTCACGTCGCAAGATTTTCTCAAGGGGGGTGCGGCACAGCTCAGAGGACGATTTGGAGCAGCTGAGAGGCGAGGCGGACAGGGTTGTTGGACAATGAAAAACAAAAAAGGAAATGCTGTAATACGAAGCGTATTAGAAACTTTAGTGTGCTGAAAAACTGGGTTTAATTCCAGCTCTTCAGTTCAGTTTTATGTGATAATCAGTGCCTGCGATCTTGAAAAGACTTCATGAACTCTAGAAAGGTTGCATCTCAAGTACACAGACTCTCATGACCATTGCACTGCCGATGTAAAGCACCATGTCTCAGCATATTTGCAGCGATAAATTAAAGTGTAGCCTCTGACTGTTTAACTGTGTTTCTCCAAATGGGACCTGATTTCCAGCAGTTTGCAGAGACAGGACAGAATAGTCTGTTTAATGGACTCGGTCCGACCTCACCTGCACAACAGACTCTCCTTGTAGATTTTTGCAGATTGATGTTGACAACTCTCAAAATCTTTGTCTGAAGGCTGTCATCTGCTAACGTGGTAATCCATGCATCTTTGATTTATCGACAATCATTGTATGAGTAAGTCAAAAAACTTAAAGATATTTCCATCCACCTGCATTTTTTGACCATTTTGGATATAAAATCTGAGGTGTAAGTTCAGAAAAAAAGAAGAAAAAATACTTTTAAAGTTCAAAAAAATTTATGCATTGATAACAGTGAAATGTGGCAAAGTGCAATTGAAACTAGCTTTTTATGCACTAATCGTGCATGAAGCATGTCAGATAGAAGCATACAGTATGTATGTGAGAACTAATGGCGAGGGGGAGCATTAGTTAAATTAATATATGAAACAAATGTAAATATAATTTCATTTTTTCTGCATTCTTTGGCAGTGCTACTAATTTTGCTGGTGATCTTTTGTAATATATAATTTGCACACTGTTGTTCTGCAGTGGTTGTGATAACACCCGGCAATAAATTTAACATCATCAGCTACTTATACTCAAGTATCCACCTTCATGCAGTCACACATACATATGGAAACAGATATGCATAGAAGTTTGCTTTGAGCTTAATGATTTTCTGAAATGTCTTCAAATGTGTGCAGTGTTTGGATGGAAACTAGACTGTAGAAACTTCTGTTATGATGATAAATTCTGCTCAGTTGACCTTTGGGATACTTTGTGGCAGCACTTTATAAACCTTATATAAACATTGCGACATGGCTGTAGCGCACTAAAATGTAGCAGATATCAGGACATTTTAAGTGTTCAGTATTAACCTGTATAATCTGTCAGCAATTCTAATTTCTCATCTGAGAATAAATTGTGTTTATATTCATTATCTGTTCACGCATCATCCTGCTTATGTTTATGCACTGTGGGCTTGCACAAGAGGAGCTATGGTGGTTAACAGACACTTCACATTGGTTAAACCCCACTTGTTAAATGTTTATATTCCGCTTATCTAAAATGCTAAGGAAAGTAATGCCGATGTCAATATTTGTTTTCAAGTATATTTATGCCACACAGTGTTTCACTGTGCACAGTTTGCTTCTTTGCACCAACACACACAGTGTGAATAGCAGATAGATCACATTGCTTTTTACCGTGACACCACCTGTGCTGCTCTGGATGTTTAGGTGATGTATGCAGTAGATGTATGCAATATTAAATCTGTGATTTTCATACTGTGAGAGGAAATACAAAGAATTCTTTAACTTTTTTTTTTTTAAATATTTTTGTTTTTCTGGGTAAAATAAATTATTTGAATCTGAGCAGTTTGCAGTGTCTTTCCTGATGAAACGATAAATAAAATCAGCAGCATGTTGTAAGACGTATTGCATCTTGAACAACCATAGAGTTTGTACTCGAAAGCAGGGATGTTAGTTAGTTAGTTTGATTATTTGTCTGAGTGTGGAAGACAAAAAGATGTCTATTTAGTTACCTTGCTGTCTTCTTCTGTGTTTCTGTCTCCATAAACTCAGCTCCAGTTGGCCACAGATTGTTTTCATAGTTTTTAATGGACTTGGTTATAAAAAGAAGTAGGCACAGTTTCCTTCTTTAAATGCTCTACAAAAAGGAAACATTAACTGTGGAAACAGCAGATTTGAAAAAGCAGGTTTCATTAAACAGTTATTACAATGTTGTGTTTTGAAAGCCTGTCCAATGAGTAAACACTTCCTAGATTGTTGTTTGGAGATTTTCATTTTAAGGATTACATTTTTCTGTATGGATTAAAAAAATGCCAACATCTCCAAAACAACAAAACTCACCAGAAGGCCTTGTTTAGATGTGAAGAAGCCCGGCATGGTCTTTGATAAACATTATTATTTTATACCATTCACTTGCCTGGTTGTAAATTTCTTTAAGTGTTCTCCCCATTTTAGGACACTGTATATAATTTGAATTGATTGATTGGAGAAAAAGTTGGCCAGCAGAGGATGAAATCCAGAGCAAAGGTCAGATGGTGACTTTTCACAACACTCCTCATATCCCGTCAGTCTCATGGGGAGTATTTTGTTACATAAGAACCACCATTTAACTGTGCTGAGCTAATGTTTATGCTGCATGCACAGCGAGTAGATGAGTAAATGGGATACAGCCTTTATCTACACCCAAGAATTCTGGATTCTCAATCATTGCTTAAGATGGGTTGTCATCAAAACTACTGTACTGGGAGGTGATTTGAAGAAATATGTTTAAATCATCAAAACATCCATCTATCCATGTTCTTCTTCTTATCCAACTCAGGGTCAGTAGCACAGCTAGAGGCTCTAGCTTTGAAGTGCAAGTTAACCTAAAATGCTTGTATTAGGAATAGGGATGGGTATCGTTTAGGTTTTATCCGATACCGGTGCCAAACCGGTACTTTTGAAACGGTGCCGGTGCTTAACCCTTTAAGACCTACCAT